TATATAGTGCAACCTTTTCATTGACCTCTACAAAAATGTTTCATACTGAGCAGATTTTATATTGTCACAGCTACTAGCTTATATAAATACCCCGACACAGTTTTCATCTTTTTGTAAGTATTCTGTATTGTTTTATTTCCACAGAGATGTGGGTGTAGCATATGTATTTTCCCAGTCATTGCCAAGTTGGTTGTGTAGCTCTAAGCTCATTGCTTCTCAGTGAAGGAAAGCATTTTAAAGAACTTGTTTGATCGAAAGAATGGGTTTATCTAACAGTGAGTACTGTAGTGTGAATAAAACTTTCTGCTCAATGCCCTCTTTTCAGTCCATCAAAAAACAATATGCAGAACTTCTAAATTAATTTTTAAAGGATTCCTCTTTCCTCCTTTTTCCTTAACAACGTCTATTTTTTTCAGTGGGGAGGAGTGAATTGAGGATTTTCAAGGGACATGCTTGTCCTTTCAAAATATATCATTTGTGTCTTCTGTGCAAGAAAAGCTACTACTGAGCATGCAAAGACAATATTTAATTTTCCAAAGCACTCAGCTATAAATATTGCAGTGGTAAGGTCCAGAATAATTCTTAAATCATGTAAGGCAATGGGCCTGGTTTAGAATTTTGTAAATAGAGAGCTGCATTGCAGATATTTCCTTTCCAGGTTTTTATTCTCTTTCAGCTAGGTATGCAAGGAATTGAGGTACTGCTGAATATTAAGGTGATCATGCCTCTTTTTCTAGTAGTTTGCCTGGTATTTTGCATTCTTGGCAAAATTCCTTCTTCAGCCTAGCTTGGTTCAAAAGAACTGTCACACTTTGAAAATACTGGGCAGTGTCTTTTTTTTTTCCTTTCTTTTTTTACCAGGCATATCCAGAACATTAGTGAGATCAAAACAGATGTTGGCAAGGCCAGAGCCTGGGTTCGTCTCTCTATGGAAAAGAAGTTGCTCTCTAGGCATCTAAAACAGCTGCTTTCAGATCACGAACTCACAAAGTAAGATGGTTTATCTCGGGCAAAGCTTTTAAAAATTAAGCCTCTTTAGTTGTTTGACTTCAAAAACCCGGAAGTGCCTATTCTTCCATCTGCTTAGCAGCATGTGAAAGGAGTAGAACAAACTAGCCTTCCCAAGTGTGTCTCTGTACCTGTGTATGAGCTATTTGGGAATTATGATTCAATGCTGGGGTTCTTCAGATACAGAATCAGTTCTGTCAGTATAGACTGTCTGTGACTTTGAGGTGAAATCTTCAAAAATTACTAGGGATTAAATGAAACGGGGCGTAAGTCCAAACGTTACTACTTTGCTCAGTCACGCTTTTTACCTTGGGCCCCTTTCTGTACCTGTGGGATATTTTGTTTTCCTTGGATTGTTTGTGTGTTTTCGCAATGCATGACAAAATGCAACTTAGGTCCTTTTGTGCAGTTCTGTCATGATATGAAGAGTGTAAAGGCACATCCAGATGTGCTTCTGTGGTTCTTGTTAGTGTGGCTCAAAGTGACTGTTCCTTAGCTTCTCACTTCTGTCTCCAAATCTGAGACGTTCTTGTAACTCCTTTCATTGCCATGTAAACTAATGTAGATAAAATCAACTTCTGGTGTGGTTTCAGAGAGCAGATGAATGGTGTACATGCAGTACCTTGAAAATGACTAGGAAGGCTGTGATGATCAGTTCTTGCATCTCATTTTGGGGCAATAAGCTCAAGAATGAGATCTGGTAATCTTTTGAAATCTTGTATCTACATCTTTCAGAGCATGATTGTCCACATCTCTAGATCAAACGGACAGTGTCTCAGCTTTGTTTGTCCTCTCCTACACAGTAAAGGTTTTGCGTTTATAGCCTGCTCAAAAACATATGGTGAATTGCTTTCATAATAGTCAAATATCTGCTATTATGATCCATTTTTTGTTTTTATTACTTCTCCTAAACATTTCAAAATATGTGACTTTCAATTACTTATATATGAAGTCATAAAAAAATTATGAAAAGACCAACCATTGAGACCCAAAACACTATTTAAAGAGTAATTGTACTATAGGAAGAAAATGGGATAAGTATGTGAAGTATGAGGGGGATGTGAGTGAAAACTGAAGACTTGAAGCTGGAGAGAGTTCCAGCTACTGCTGGCTTAAACTCTGTCAAAAGTACTCTGTGCTTCTTACAAGTACGCATCTTGAAGGGTAAAAGGAGGAATGCTCAGCACAAGGACCTATTTACCTGGTGATGTCCAGAGCACATGTACATTATGTTATCTTTGTAAACATAAGTAATTCTTTTGGAAATAGTTGCACAAATCAGAGTACAGGCCATATTTAATACTAATTGTTTTAGGAGTAACAATTTGAGGTTTATTTAGTGTAACCTGTGCAGAAGAAAAATGTATTGCTGATAAGGTTGGATAAACTGTTTACTGTATGGAAATTAAATGTTCTCTTGTATGGGCCCTAGTAATTGTCATTAGCTTTAAATGAAGACTTCTTTCTGGAGACAGCTTAACCTCTGCTATCTACTCTTCCTTTCCTCTGCTACCACTCACACCACCTTCCAGGAAATGTCTTCCCTCCACCAATCCCCCCAAACCCCAGCTGCTAGTTATTTGAGATTTGCCATGGATTGAATTATGTTGGACTTTCTGATGAAATTGTGGCCTTCCAACAGTGAGCAAGGAAAAGCTGAAGGGCAGAGTGAGGACAGCCAATACATCTACCTGTATCTCTAAATTAAGGTTAGGCCTCTCCAGTGAAGTCAGCAGTCCAGATCATGTTAAATTAAGCAGTGCTTGTCCCATGCAGAACAAGTGCTGTGAGAGGACTTTCCACACACCACCACACTCCACCCTCAGCTTTT